CTTCCCTGATTGAATTGTGAGCCGCCCTGAGTCCCCTTCGGGGAAAAGGGTGGCATATAAATGTAATAAATCCAATCCAATCCAACCACTACGGCAACCATAACCACTCAAAGAGCCACAAAGGTCCTAACCAGAAGCTCCCCCCATTCAATTCTGGAGCCGACCAGAAGTTTCCCACCATAGAGTCTCAATGTCCTTTTTCCTCTACCTGTCCTAACCAAAGCCCTATCAATTAAGGAGCTGACCAGAAAACCTGCCTCTTGCCATAGAGTCTCTTCCGGGTGCGCCCTGCTCCCCCGCCTCCCAAACCGGAAGCTCATCTCAAAATTGTAGTGCCAACTGGTGACGGAGCCGCAGCAGAGGGACGAAAGAGCCACACGTGGCTCCAGAGCCATGGGTTGCTGACCCCTGCACTACACCTGGCTCTCCTAGACGTTGCTACACATTGTTAACTTTCGGTGGCAATATTTTAAGCGATAAAAAGCTTGCCCAACTATAGAGAGCTTTTCAAATCATGCTATAAAGGATGGAGAATGGGTGTCTTTCCAGCTTTTTAATATCAATCTTTATTTGCAGTCTGTAAACCCAGCACGTTCTGTAGGACAAAATAATATTATTTTATAAATAGAAAAAAAAAATCTAGTCACATTCTAAGGAATAAAATCCCCACCAGACAGGAGCAACTGCAAATAACAAGGTTCTGGGTAGATTGGAATTCTGGCTAAATGAGTTATTAGCATTTTTTTATAAGGACAAAATGTGAATGTTGCAGGGGTTTCTTTATCAAGAGCATCCAATTTGAACGTCTTTTTTCGAATTGAATGCTCTACAATTTCCTTGCAAAAATGGATGTTGGAAGGGCATACAGCTTGCTAGTGTTAGGATTTCTCTGAATTTTGGAACAATTGTTTGGCTTAAATACCTCTAGTTTAAAATGCTATAATTATTCAGTTCATAATTATGCCATCGAGAAGGATTATACAATGTCTCTGTCCACCTTTTGCATATTGCCAAGTTAGAAAGGAGTTTTTAATGATGCAGTTAAAAGTTATTCTGAGGAGTCTATGGAGATTCTCAGTCATCCAAGTCACGGTTGCCCCAAAATTGCTTTTTTTTATTTTTATTTTTTACTGTTATTAATAATATGTATTTATAACAATTTTTCCCTACAGTTGACAATATACTTGAAGATNATTTCTAAATCTTAAAACCAAAAAAAAGTTTCCCTAATTCAAGGCAGTTTTTCACTGTAGCTTTGAAGAGTTGTATAGTTTCCTACGTGATACTCAAATACAGAACTCAAATATGTATTTGAGTTCTGTATCACACAGGAAAT